TATATAGTGTTCTTTTTCAGCACCACAATTCAAAGGCATTGATCCTTTATCACTGTTCTACTCTCAAATGCATAACAAGTGATTGAAAAGACCATGGCTTGAATTAGGTGCACCTTAGTCTTTACATAATCAATCTTCTTCAGCACTTGAGAGAAGTCCCTGACTGCAGACTCTTCCAATGCAGCATATCTTTTGATTTCCTGCCTGCTTGTACCAAGATTGTTGATTGTGGACCCAAGTAAAATGAAGTTATGGATAATTTCTATCTTTTCTCCATCTATCGTGATGTGGCCTTTTGGCCCTGTGGTGAGGAGTTTTGTTTTCTTGATTTTGGGATATGATCTATACTGAAGGCTGTTGTTCTTGTTATGCGCCGTCGAGTCATTTGCGACCTATAGCAACCCTATGTACAACAGTCCTAAACTCTTCTCTGTCCTGTGCCAGTTGCACTGTCTCTGACACACCCATCCCAATTACCCCAGTCACTGAATCAATCCACCTTGTAGAGGGCCTTGCCCTCCTACGCTGTCCCTCCACTCTACCAAGCATGATGTCCATCTCCAAGGACTGGCCCCTCCTTATAAATGAAGGCTGTAGTCCTTGATATTTTACATCAAGCTTTTCTAGCCCTCCTTAAATTCAGCAAAGTTGTATCATCTGCATAATGCTGGTTGTTGATCCATCTTCCTCCAAACCTAATGCCATATTCTTCTTCATAAATTCAAGCTTCTCAATTTATTTGTTCAGCATAGACAATAAACAGGTATGGATAAAGAATACCACCCTCATGCACACCTTTCTTAGTTTTAAACCATGCAATGTTCCATTGCTGTGTTTGGAAAATGACTTCCTGCTGTAGGTATAAGTTTCTTATGTTGTTATTTGTTGCTGCTGTTAGGTTCTGTTGAGTTGAGTATGACTCATAGCAACCATATGAACAACAGATCTGAACCATGTCCTATCTTATTCCATCTTTACTAGAGATCATTGCAGCAGTCAGTCACCATATCAATCCACCTAATTGAGGGTCGTCCTCTCTTTTGCTGACCCTCCACCATTCCAATCATCATACCCTCTAACAAAAGCCTCTCCTAGCAACATGACCAAGGTAAGTCTCATCATTCTTGCCTCCAATGATCTCTCTGGCTGAAACCTCTCCAAAACATGCTTGTTTGTTTTGTTGGCTGTCCAGGGGATAGTCAGTGCTCTTCTCCAACAAAGCAGCTCATAGGCATCAATAATTCTTCTGTCATTCTTATTCATTGTTTCACATGTGCACAGTTAAATATTCTGGGATTCCCATTCTTCTTAATGTTATTCACAAATAGTTATGATCTCCACATTCAAACCCCTTCATATAGTTGATTAAACACAAGTAGATGTCCTTCTGGTACTCCCTATTTAAAACTAAAATCCATCTGACACCAGCAATGATATCTCTTGCATCTTAGTCTCTTCAAATTCCAGCATGAATCTCTGAAAGTTTCTCTGCTGATGTACTATTCTTCATGATTTTTAATAACCTTCAAGATTTTACTTTAATATGCTAGTAATTCTATATTTTGCTAATTTCTAAATTTTGTTTGATAATCTTCTTTGGGAATGGGAACTATAGATTTCCTCCAGTCTGTTTGCCAGACAGCTGTCTTCCAAGGTTCTTGGCATAGTCTTGTGAGCACATCCAAGGCTGCATCTGTTTGCTGAAACATGTTAATTGGTATCCCATCAATTCTAAGACCTTATATATTTTTTCGAATATCTTCAATGCAACTTAAATTTATCCCTTCGTTAATACTGGTTCCTGATAATATGCTTGCTCCTGGAATGGTTCTGTATGAGCCTATTCTTTTTGGTAAGATGATACAGTGTCTTTCTTCCATTTTTGATAGTTCCTGGATTGTTCAGGGTTTTTCCATATATTGCAGCCAAAGGCTTAAATTTTGTTTTCAGTTCTTTCAGCTTGAGGAATGTTATGTTCTTTTTTGTTTTATGACTCCAGCTCTTTGCACATATCATAATACTTTGCACTATCTTCTTGAGCTGCCCTTTGAAATCTTCTGCTCATCTTCATAATTTTGACCATTTTTCCCCTTGTTTTGGCCTCTCAGTGTTTCAGAACAAGTCTCCTCTCTTGTGATATCCATTTTGATCCTTTCATTTATCCCTGTCTTTGTAATGACCTTTTACATTCTTCATGGAAAATATAATTGGTGTCATTCCACAACTCCGCTGATCTTCAATCATTAGTGTTCAATGTCTCAAAATTATTCTCTACATGATGTTTAAATTCAGGTGGGATAGACCCAGGATCATATTTTGGTTCTTGTGGATTTAAAAAACTTAGATCTTATATGCCAAATAGTAAATTTGTCTGATTTTCATCTGGTTTGACAAAGTGTCATTATCTTTATTTTGTTGTTATGAGCCTTCCAGTCAGATCTGACTCATAACTGACCCTCCAGTACATTTTCAGAGAGGAGATTGTACATCCTTCTCCCACAAAGCAGCTGGAGGATTCGAACTGCATGTCTTTGGGAATGCAGTAAACAGTAAGAAACATACACTATGTCTCTCAAGGCCATTGGCTATACAAATATCCTTGAATACAGAATATGAAGAGAAGGCAGTCTGTGCCTCTCTTGAGAAGACTTGCAGTAATGCAAGAGACCAATTCTTGCAAAAAGATTTAGCTTTATAAGTTTACAAACAATTAAGAAGAAGTAGCAAGAAAGGAAAGCTATATTTCTCAGAGACTTCAGCAAAAATTCAGTGTTTAAGAAATATTCCTGATAATTTAGAACAACACAGAATTTGATAACCCAAGTTTTGTGAAATGCTTAGGTAAAAGATTCCTCCCCCTCCACCTTATTCCCATTAAAAAAAGGTTGTTGTTGTTGTTATGTGCCTTCGAGTCGTTTGCGACTCATAGCAACACTATGTACAACAGCCCTAAACCCTGCTCTATCCTGTGCCAATCGCATTGCCTCTGAAACACCCATCCCGATTACCCCAGTCACTGCATCAATCCACTTCATAGAGGGTCTTCCCCTCCTGCGCTGTCCCTCCACCCTAGCAAGCATGATGTCCCTCTCCAAGGACCTGTCTCTCCTTATAACATGACCAAAGTATGTCAGAGGAAGCCCCAGAATCCTTGCCTCCAAGGAGTAGCTTGGTTTAACCCTCTCCAGGATGAATCTGTTTGTTTCCTTGGCAGTCCAGGGTACATTCAATACTCTTCGCCAGCACCACAGCTCAAAGGCATCAATTTTCCTCCTATCCTCCCTAGTAATTGTCCAGCTCTCTAATGCATAACAAGTGATTGCAAAGACCATGGCCTGTATCAGGTGCACCTTAGTCTCCAGAGAGACACCGTTGCTCTTGAGTACTTT